GACTGTGCAAACTTCACATTTGAAGTACAACAAAGCTTTTGGCTAACGTGTTTATAGCTCTAGCTAATCCCTTTTCCACTAGCTTCTGTGCAAGTATGTGCAATGTTGAAGCTTTTCCTGCATGCTCTGGAAAATACCGGAAGCCTGCTTTTTTGCTGGTAGCCACTCTCGTCTGCATAATTGTGTACACCTGCTTTCGTTGTTCATTGCTCCCCTTTCTTGATCTGTGAACTCTCATCTCTATGGTGGAAGCCCACGAATAGCCCCTTGCATGAATGTTGAAAAGAAAGCAACTTTCAGGCTGAAAAGGGCTCCCTGGCTGCACAGAAACCTTGAATTCTAGATACATATTTTACCCCATTCAAAGACATATTCCAGCTTAGAGCGGTGTTGGCTCCGGCCTGTTCTTTAATCGTTTCTTATCCTTTGAGTGTGGGTTACATTGTGTGTGATCATAGGACGCGCCAACTAGCTCTGCCTGAGAGCATTAGAGGAATTTCCCAGAAGGGATGACATTTCTTAAGTGATTTTTTTTTTTTTTTTCACAAAGACTCACAGCTTGTGAGCTTGAAACGTACCAACATTGCTCTTTCAAATATACATCAATTAAATATGCAGTTTGGTACTTTTCTAGTAAAACTGATAGCGTTTTATCGATTTATCTCACTTTCTACCCCCTCTGTGACTCATGCAACACACCTGTAAGACCGGCAGCCAGAAGGAAAAAAACCAGAAAATTAACCCATATGGAAGATTGAACCTGTTATTAATGGTGCTTTGCCTGCGGCAAGATCATTAGCGACAAGTAAAAGGCCTACCTGGGACCGCTGCAGTCCGAGTACACCGAGGGGGACGCCCTGGACGCCGCGAGGCTGAAGCGCTGCGGCTCCCACCACCTCGTGCTGCTGACCCACGTGGACCCAATTGACAAGCTGCTCAGCTGCGCCCCCTGGAGAAGTGCCTGCGCTAGAGCCTCCCCCACCCTCCACCGCACCTGTTGTGCTGGACGTGGGCGGTCGATGTCTTTCCCAGGGTTCGTTAAACTGAGTTGTCAGGGAGCTGACCACAGCTCGTGGGCGTGTCTCCCCCACTCTGGAGGGAAGGAACATTCAGTAAAGGTCTTTCAGAACCAAAAAAAGAAAAAGAAAAAATTAACTCACATGGAAGATTGAATCCATCACTAATGGTGCTGTGATTTCATCAACTGAAGGAATGAACTACATATTCCTTGCTCTCAGTAACAAGGGATAAGACGTTGAACAGTGAGTTCCTACACAGCATCAGTGGAAAATACTGCCCTGTGCGGTGACTGGCAGCTATACAGTAATTCTCTAGACGAATACTACCTGCTTTTATTATAGCCACCATGTGAATTGCCTAGCTGTTGGAAACTTGGCTTTGCAGAAGAACCTCATCAAACAAAAATCAATGGCCATGTTAGCCACAAGTTCTCTGTCAAAAAGTCTAAATAAATCATTTATGCCTTGTGGGCCAATGTTTCTCAAACACCTGAGTTCAAGATAATTGCAGTGGCTGGTTGCAAATCAGCCTATAATTCTGTAACCCTCTGACCTCTGACATTGTTTTCACCTTGTGTATGTACTATACCCACTATAAATTTCCTCATTGTTCCCCCAAATCATATCCCCTCTAATCAACCACTGCTTCTGCAAAGAAATAACCTAGAAAATACATAATAGTTCCTGGAATTAGCATAACAAAGCTCATATTTGTTGAACGGGGGCTATGAGCCAAACATTTCTACAGGTATTTTTACCTGTGGTTTCTAATTTAACTTTATTCTTATGACAACCTATGAAATGTGCTTTGTTATTCTAATTTATAGATGAGAAAACTGATGCTCAGAAAGTCAGAGAAGGCCTTCAAAGGGATGTGGGGGGAAATAGTGATTTCAGAATGTCTTTTGAAGGAACAGTTTGAAAGCTTCGAGAAGCGTTCTGTGTAGTTGATTTTTCCCGTCCTCCTCTAACGTGTCCGGTTGGCGCTCTCAGTGGAGCTGGTTCTGCCAGTGGTTTCGCTCTTGGCCTTGGTGGGGTTTGTCTTCACCACTTTCCGCAGTGCCTTTTCTTTATAAGTCACATCCTTTTATTTAGAAGTGTACCGGTCAACTAAAGTGCTGGAATTAGAGTTGCTGTCATCACTGATAGAAATTGGTGAAAACTTAATTTGTGTTACAAACGAAAGTAAAACAAGGACAGTTTGCTCTTTTTAGAAATAGCAGATTTCACTTTCAATACATCACAGCTGCTTTCATTATGACTAAGAATTTCTGCTTTTCAGTAGTTTTGGTGTTTCTGAGTGTGTGCCCTTTGACAATCAAACATCTCAAGTGGAGAGAGGTTGGTTTGTTTTAGTTTTTTCATTATTAAACCTAAGTGTGCTC